TTCGGTTTTCCAGGCATTTTCTGGATTAGTCAATATAAGCTTCTGCTGTTCACCTCGATGGGCCATGGGTTGCAGGTGTGTTTCTATACCAGATGGGAATTCCTTCAAAATACTCACAGTGGGCTGGAGAGATAGTACAGCAGGAGGGGCACTTGCCTAGCACAGGGCCAACAGAAATATCCCATACGCTTCTCTGAGCACTGCCAAGAGTAACTCCAGAGTAAACTCTGAGCACTGCCTGGGGTGGCCCCCCAACCAAACACACACACACACACACACACACACACACACACACACACACACACCCCTCCGTGCCCCTCCCTGCTCAGTCACATCCTCCCCTGCATGGGAACCCTGGCCCAAACACCACCATTCCTCTGTGCCTGACAGATGCATCCTCAAAGGGAATGGACTCACTTGGCAGAGAGTTTACACATTTTTCCTCCACATTAACTCCTCTAGCAAGAAAAATAAAGAAACGTTTCCCAGCCACTCCCTCAAAGAGCTGCTGGTTCTGACAGCCCCTGAGCGGACATCCCTAATGGCTCCCAGACCCGCGTGTGCGTGCCTCTGTGTGTGTGTGTGTGTGTGTGTGTGTGTGTGTGTGTCTGGAGCAGTGTTCCCTGCAGGACAGCCCAGGGGGCCCTGTGCCATGCACTGTCACTGCTTAGAGGTGCTGCAGGCTGTGCCCCTGGAGATGGCAGGTGGGGACACGGGACAGGAGCAGGGGGCGCAGAGGCTGGAGTCCCTGGGTGCTGGGAACAGGGTACCCAGAGGGCCTAGTTTGCAGCCGATGCCCGTCTTGCACTGGCCCACCAGGGCAGAATCTACACATCTGTAGCAGGTGCTGGCAAGAGGATGCTCCCGGAGGCTCCTCTGACAGGGCCCCTGAAAATGCCTCCAGGATCCAGGTCCCCACCTGCAAGCCCGGTTCTGTCCCCATCCATGTTTGGGGGGGGGGTTTGTTTGTTCCTTTTTGGGGTCACACCCGGCGATACACAGTAATTACTCCTGGCTCTGCACTCAGGAATTACTCCTGGTGGTGCTCAGGGGACTATATGGGATGGTGGGAATAGAACCCGGGTTGGCCTCATGCAACTCAAATACCCTATCCACTGTGCTATGGCTCTGGCTTCCCATCCGTGTTTGATGTCTGCAGTTTCCGGAGATTACTCTGCAGGAGCCCGCCGAGCCCCATGCTCCCTCCAGCCATCTGTTGTGGGTTTGTTTTTGTTTCGTTTATTTTTTGTTTAAATCTCAAGGGCCACCAAGACGGATTACAGGTAACTTCCAATGGCTGATGTAAAGTGCAAGCAGGAAGGCAGTGACCAAACTCTCACTGCAAAGTGATGCTCAGTGTCCTAGAAGCCGGGTCAGGGCTGACCAGGCACAGGCCCCACCCTCGAAGCCCAAGACAATTACAGCTCTGAAAGGCTTGGGGCTTCCTCTGGCCTGGAGGCACTGCTGATGGAAGAATGGGATTCCACATTCTCCAGAGCCAGAAAGATGGCCTGTTCCTGAGAGCAGGCCCACGTCAGGCTGCGCCCAGGACACCTTATGGAACACGCTGCTCCTCACAGCCTGTTTCCCAGTCTGTGGCCCTCATCGAGTGACCTGCCAGCTGAGGCACAAGGATCAACTCCTCCAGTTGTCGGCCACTACGTCCCATCCCTGATTCCTCTGCCCCAGGAGACCAAACTTTCCCCAGCTCCCCCGTTCGCCCGGCCGCAGTGGGCCCTGGGGACTCTGGAGGGCCAGGAAGAGGGATGGTCAGTGGCCAGCGGCTCCTTCTCATACATGGGCCCCACTGGGATGGGCAGGAGTGGCAAGTTCCATGAGAGCCATGCCCAGTTTGCACCCCCAGTTCTGAGATCACCGCCCTACTGAGCCCCGGGATTCACCACCGGATCCTAGACACCCACCCCATAGGCCAGCGACATCTGACTGGTCAGTACAGGGCCCAGAGGGGCTACAGAAGGGCACAGAGCAGTATGGGGCTGGGTTGGACGCAGCACTCGGTCTCCGAGTCAGGACATTTCAGGGACAAAGCTTGAGGCTGGGGTGGACACAGCGCTCGGTCCCCTGAGTCAGGTGCACTCACCCCACCCCCCCCCCCAGACACACCAAGGCAGAACCTGCACTTCCGGAGACTGCCCCCCCCACCCCCGCAAAGCCCCATCGATGGCAGAGCCCCAGAACTGATGTTTCAGGGACTCTGTCATGCTCAGTTCCCATGGCGTGGGCATACCTGGAGTCAATCTTTAAAGTCACACACAGGTCAGGTCGCACGTCCTTCTCTCCCAGAAGGGAATATAACATGATGCTCACCATAACCATGCCGCTGGACCCTGTGCCAGGCTGTTTCACTTGGGGCGCCCTGAAGGAGGGCAGGTGAGAGCCCTCCCTGCCCCAAGGGACCCAGCCCTGGCAGCTGAAAACCTCCAGAACCCAGCCACCGCCATGCTCATGGCCACTCTCCACACGCTTGGACCAATCACCACCAATCACCACTCCTGATTGTACAGCCACAAATACAGCAGCGTGATACTTCAAACCACACACCCTACCCATACCCCAAGATTACTGCACCAAGTGGAACTGTTGGCCAGCCTGAGAATGTTCATATCCCATAGAAATCACTGCATGCTAAAAATTCTACTTCACTTTTTTGTTTTTCTGCCCGACAGGCTGCTAAACAGTTACTAGCTCACTGTGAAGGATGGAGCAGCAAGACATTTTAATGTCGACTTTAAAATAATTAAATAGAGCACTGTGTTCACTCCTTGCTTTCTCAAACGAAGGATTTTTATCATTATTTATATTAAACTTGACCTTTTACTAATAAAAATAAGTCCATCCTTCAAAAAAAAATGATTACCGCACCACATTTGATAGGGTTCAAAGTAGGAGGCAGCCAATCTTAGAGGGAAATATCCTTTTTTTTTTTTTTTTATAGATCTGTCACTGTCCTCCCGCTGTTCATTGATTTGCCTGAGCGGGCCCAGTAACGTCTCCATTGTGACACTTCTTACTGTGTTTGGCATATCAAACACGTGTTGGGTAGCTTGGGGGGTAGGACTGTGCAGACAAGATACTCTCGGTAGCTTGCCGAGCTCTCTGAGAGGGGCGGAGGAATCGAACCTGGGTTTGCCAGGTCGGCCCCGTGCAAGGCAAACACCCTACCTACTGTTCTATTGCTCAAGGCACACAAGACTCAACCTTTAACAACATGTAAGTGTTCTCTTATAGAAGGGCTTAACAGCCCCTGAGTGAAATATAACAATCTTCACACTCTTTCCTCTAAGGATACTTTTTTGTAGCATTTTCAGTGGTTTTTCATAACAATACAATATATATTATTTCGGATCTTCTTTGGGGCAAGGATTGAGGTTCGGGCTGGAAACATCTGAAATATGGTGATGGGAAGGTGTAATGGTGGTGGGATTGGTGTTTGGATATTAAATGTAATCAAATATTGTGAACCACTTTATAAAATAGAAAACAATTAAAAAACCCAAATAAAATAAAAATTACTAGTAATCTTATCAATCAATCAATTAAGTCACACACAGGGGCCGAGAGCGCAGGCAAGGCCTCGCCTCCCCATGTGGCTGGCCAGGCGTCCATCCCCGGGACTGCAAGATTGCCTGTCAGGAATGAACCCAGAGCACAGAGCCAGGAGCAAACCCTGAGCACTGCCAGTGGGGGGTTGGGCTGTTTAACTCCTCCCTCCCCCCAACACACACCTCAAAGCAAGCGCACACACATATTCCAGGCACTAGGATTAAGTGAGCTGATTCTGACCTGGCTCATCAGAGGCCTTCACGTCTCCACAGCAAGAGCTCCAGGACTCTGAAGCGGGGGACAAAGCTACCTGGGCTTCTCCTCAGACATACACAGGGCTTTTGAGATCAGGGGTCGGGACACACGGGGGTCGGGGAATAGGGATGCTGGACACACACGGGGGTTTGGGACACATGGGGGTCAGGGAACAGGGGGTTGGGCACATGGGGGTTGGGCACACAGGGGGCGGGTACACTCTCTGTGAGAGTAAATCGTGGCTCCGTCCCTGGCACTACGAGGCCCAAGCAGCAGTATCTCCTCAAACTCTAGCACCAAACAATCCTTTGCTGCTTATTGGAGACAAAGGGCAGTAGTCTGGGGCCCTGGACACTTCTAGGGAGACACAGGAACAGAAGCAGAGCATTCACAACCATCACCCCAGCTTTGGCCAACTGAGTCGGGGACACCAAGCCCCCCAACCCCCACAACAAAGTCAGATTCGGGCTCAGGTCAGCAACACCAGGCAAGTTCCATGTCTACACCAGCATTGGCTTAAGGAAGTTCTGTGTCTCACTAGCACTGGCTTAAGGAAGTTCCATGTCTACACTAGCATGGGCTTAAGAAAGTTCTCTGTCTATACTAGCATTGGCTTAAGGAAGTTCAGAGCTACAGCAGCATGGGTTTAAGGAAGTTCTGTGTCTACAGTAGCATTGGTTTAAGGAAGTTCTGTGTCTACACTAGCACTGGCTTAAGGAAGTTCATGTGTACACTAGCATTGGCTTAAGGAAGTTCTGTGTCTATACTAGCATTGGCTAAAGGAAGTTCCATGTCGATACATTAGCACTGGCTTAACACCTCACAGCTGATCTGTTTCTTCATAAATATCAGTCTCCAGCCTGTGACCTGTACTGTGGACACTGGCAAAGGCCCAGCACGTACTGGTCTAAGTGAGTCATTCACTGAGGCAGAGACAAACACTGTTATCCACAGCCTCTCAGGGGCTGACCTGAGTTATAGAACGCTTAAAGTAATTTCCTTATGGGAAAAGCCACAAGAAATACTCTCTTCTGTAGGGATCAAAAACTATCATTAAGGTTAGAACAAAGTCAGACTATTTTAGATGCGTCTCAGCTGGGCGTGTGGATCTATTTGTTTCAACGATGACAGTATCTGAAAGAGAACTTTTAAAATGTCGCAGGTGGAGAAACTCTACTCACCGATACTAATTTCATCATCCGTTTCCGCATCGCCAATACACTCGAACTGGAAATCTTGTAGTGACTGAGAAAACTTCTGTACCGCCATAGACAGATCTGCAGTGAAAATTTTGAGAAAAATAATCATTAGGTTGACAGGCCACAGAGAGAGAGTCCTAGGAAAAGGCACTTATCTTGCTCGCTGCCAAATTTAGTTTGAATTCCTGATGCCATATATGGCTCCCTGAGCACTGCCAGGGATCAATGTTGAGCACAGAGCCAGGAGTAGCCTCTGAGCACTGAGCCTCTGAACACCCTGGCTGTAGCCTCCCAAAAACAAAACAATCAAAAACATGACACCAAAGATACCACGTAAAAGTTCAGAGCAGTGAGTGTAAAACAAGTTACATAAAACTTGGATTTTTAACACTTTGTGAACCAGAGCTTTCAATATACCAGCACAGCCAAAGCAAGCAGCATTCTTCGGAGCTGGGCGCATTTTGCCCAGAGGGGAAGGACCTTTAACAGAACCACAGGGCTGGGCCTGGAGAACCCCCATACACCCACTACCCACCGGTGCCTGCAAAGGAAGGAAAGCGAAGCCAAGTGGAATTGGACAAGGAGCAGGTAGGAAAGGCGTTTCTGCTGACCCACAGCTGTTGGTGACAGGGAAAGTTGGAGCTGTTTGCAGCCTGTGGCTGAGGAGATGCAGCCAAGCGTAGGTCTGAGTGAACGAAAGCCAAGACTGAACAGTGAGCAGCGCACGGACCCTAGGCAGCAGGTGCCCGCAGTGCAGCAGAGAGTGGACGTGGGGACCAGGCTATCTGGATCAACCCCCTGGCTCCTCCTTGCGTTCCCCATTACCTAGGCAACCTCTATGGCCGGTCTGTGCAAAGAGAGGAACGAAGGCACAGCCCGTCCCTACCCCAGGCTCTTCTGAGGAGGACAGGCACCAACCCCTGCCAAGTGCACAGAAGGGACCAGCCTGCCCCTCGCTGGAGCACTGCAGCCTGGAGCTGAGGCAGGGGCTCTGCTCTGTGTGCCCTAAGGCCCCCCGGCACAGATGGTATGTTCCTGTGATGCCCCAGTACTGCTGCCAGGGACCCTGGGGACCCCCAGCACCGATCCTCAGGACACAGCCAGGCTGATTATGAGCACTGTGGGGGAGCCCCTTTCCCACCACACACACAGATCAAACATCGAGTCCTCCCACCCCATCCCTCCTCCTCCCTCCTGAATCCCCTCCCAGCTAGAAGCCGCCACCAGGCCCCAGCCCTGCCTCCTGCCGTGGCCCCTCTGCACGGGGGCCCAGTCCAACCATCAGTGCAATGTCAAAAAAATGCTTCCCTCAAGAGGCAGGAGCCCCATGTTAGATAAGAGAGCACTTGGGAGAGAGTCCCAGGTTTCAGTCAGTCAGCAAACACTTTTCTGTTCCTGTGGCATCAGGAGCAAAGGGTGCTTCCAGGCGCTCAAAAGTCACCGTGTCTGGACAGACATCAAACTCTTCAACACTTCTCTGGCACTGGGACCGAAGAGATGATGTGAACTGGCATGGGCTGTGGCAGCATCTGGGAAGCAGGAAGGGGGCTGGGAATGTCGCCCCTGACAGAGCCAGCCAGTGCACACCTGACAGAGCCCTGCAGAAGTCCCTGGCCCTAATGTGGAATTCAAAAAACCTCATATGGGGACTAGAGCAAGAGCATGATAGGGAGGGCGTCTGTCTTGCATGCGGTCGACCTAGGCCCCATCCCCAACACCCCTTATGGTCCCCCAAGCACAGCCAGGAGTAAGTTCTGAGTGCAGAGCCAGGAGTGACTCCTGAGCACTGCTGGGTATGGCCCAAAAAACAAACAAAAAAGAAGACCCAGAGAAGTAATAAACACGCCCAGACATGGGGGTTAATTATCCTCACAGGGCTGAGGCAATAGCCCAGCAGGGAGAAAGCTTGCTTTGAATGCTGCTGAGTGGGATTCAATGCCCAACACCCAAAACGACTGGCCAGGAGCAACTCCTCAACAGTGAGCCAGGAGTTAGCCCTGAGCACCACCATTTATAGCCCCAAATAGAAAAAAAAAAGTAAGTAAGAATTACCTTGTACCTCCACCACACCCTTGCTATGCTGACTTTATTTTACCTTTAATCCAGTTATTCGTGAAGCTAGTTTATCTGTCTAGTCCTTTTTGTTTGGGGGCCACACCCGGTGGTGCTCGTGAGCTAGTTACCTCTGGTGGTGCATTAAGGATAGAACATTTACTGCCATAAACATCAGTCAAGGATCTAGGCTCCACAGCTTGTTTACAAGAGTACAACTGTTAAAATAAAGTTTCTGAAAGACAGAAACTTCCAAAAGCTCTTTAACCTTCCTTCTTCTCTTTCATGCTCTTGCAAGCTGCCCAAGAGGCTTTTTCAACCACTTGTAAAACATGGGTTAACCACTTTCAGTAATAATAAAAAGTTTCATTATTCACAAGAAGCTTTAATACACATTTACAGTGACAGAAGCAAAAGATGTCCGACCGGTTCAAGGTTCTTACAGCTTTTATCAATTCTCACACAAACTGCGAACACCAAAGCTCTGAAACTCTTCAGTAACCGCCTGAAATATCAGAGCTAAGCTGTCACCTGGACAGGCTCTGCTCTGAGTCAGCCTCTGTTCCAACACATGTCAGAACCAGGGAAGGCAGGGCCATCTTTCAAGAGCCCAGTGAGCCAAGCTGCTATCTGGATTCTGACACTGCAACACAACTGGAAGTCAGAGAGCATGGCAGCAGCCTGCAGGAATTTGGGTCCTTTCAAGAGTCCCTGGCAAGGTATGCAGGAACCCATGACTGAGATCTCCAAGCCCACTCAGAACGGGACTGGGTCTCCTCCCCCCAGGTCCCCAGTCTGCTAGTAGCTTGGCAGTCACACCCACAAACTGCCTCCAGTGCCTTATCATCAACGGCCAAGACCCAGAGACTCTGAACTAATGCTCCAGAAGAGAGCAACACACAACATCCTGGAGCGAATACGGCCTTGCATCCTCTGACACTCTAACCCACTGATGTACCAAAAGTAGCACACATTTGTTTGGTTTGAATATACATCCTTGTAATCGCCTATATAAGGGCTTAGATGGCTCCAGGGTGAAATGCAACAATCTTCCCACACTTTCCTATTATGGTTGTGGGAAGATGCATGGTGGTGGAACTGGTGTTTTAAACATTATTGGTAATGAACTATTGTGAACAACTTTATAAAAATATAAATAAATAAATAAATAAATAAATAAATAAGAGTCCCTGGCAAGAAGGCCCATTCCCTCCCAACACCGCAGCTCACGTGCAAAATGTGGTTTCCTTGCTGACATTATTGAAAATTCCTGAAAAGCTATGGTTCAGGGAACAGCCGGGTACTATCATGAACCTTAGCTCAGCAACACACACACAGCACACTGATATGCCAAGCAATCACCAAACAACTTGATTTTTAGTGACTGCACTTAGGGACCTGAGTGTTGAATTAAAAAGTCCAAACTGGAGGAAAACTGAGGAGAGCAAAACCTGTGACAAGCACCATGAAACTTCCTGTCAACAAAAATCATCTCTGATTCTTAACTAAAGTCTTGAATTGCCATCTGCTGTGTTCTGCTCCACACCAATGGCTAGAAAACAGAAGCTGCCTGAAACCAACAATTACAAGTCTCCAAGACCACATATCTGTCTTCCTCAGCTTCCTTAGCTGGGCATTTGAAAGGAAAGACAACCTTTAAGACAAGCTTTTCCTTCAAAGCAAGGGGAGAGATTACTTCCCACACACATTTTACAACACCAGCATTACCCTGACAGCAAAAGCAGACAGACACGGTAAAGAAAAAAAAAAAACAAAACACACAGACTCTGATGCAATAAATCCTCAACAAAATATCCAAGAGCCAAACTCAACGGGACTTATAAAAGGATCACACGGTGGCCCAGTGAGACAATCAGAGACAGGAGGCCAGGCTTCAAGGTCCACAAACTGATTAATGTCATATACCCCAGCAACAGAAAGATGCAGAGCATGGAATCATGTCAAAAGATGCAGAGACACACAGGAATGCCAGTAAGATTCAAGGTCTGTTTATGATAAAAACCCAACAAAAGGAGGACAGGCAGAATATCCCTCCACATGATATAAGCGGTATATGACAAACCCACTGCAGGGATCATAATCAACGAGGACAACTACATACTTTCCCTCTAAGATCAGACACAACAAGACAAGGCTCTCCACCCTCACCACTATTATGCAACATAGGATTAAAAGTCCTCTGCAGAACAATTAAGGAAGAAAATCCAAAGAATCCCACATTGGAAATAAACCTGTAACATTTGCTGATAACTAGAGATATTTTTTAAAACCCTGAAGATTCCATTAAAGAATTGTTAGAAATGTTAAATCAGTAAAGTGCAGGATACCAATTCAACACTGGTATGGAGAGTTCATTTAAAACGAAAAAAATCGGTTGCATTCCTCTATACAAACAACAAACTAAAAAGAAGGAAAAAATCCATTTAAAGTTATGAGAATAAATCCATTTACAGTTATGAGAAAATAAAATAACAGGGCCAGAGACCGTACAGGGTTAAGGCACTTGGCTTGGCCCATGTGCACCTGTGGTCACCTCACCCTCACCCCAGCACCCCATACGGTCCCCCGTATCCCACCAGGAGTGATCCCTGAACACAGAGCCAGAAACAACCCCTGGGCACCATATGTTCAGAAACACAACCACACAACAAACAAAACCAAACCGAAGCCACCCCAGATAGGCATGAGTGTGTGTGTGTGGGGGGGGGGGGGCAGTAGGAGCAAAGGTGGAGGGGTCCTGGGTGCTGCGTGGTGGCTGGATGTTGTCGCATGCATTTAGACTCTCAGAGCACACAAGGGGATAGAAGCCAACATTATGCAGAAGAAAAAAAAAAAAACCCTGCCCAGCACCCACGGTGTTCTCTAACGGTCTCGGGCCAGAACCAGTGGTGGCAATGGGACAGGTGCCCTCCCAAGACACGGAAGAGCATAACTTGAGTCGGCCAACTTCAGGTCGGTGACCCCAAAGTGGCCACTCCCGCTGCCTGGGGACCCCAGCCCAATCT